AAAGGTGGGGAAAACAAACTTTCATGGCCCTACTCCCAGCCTCCACAGATTTTACAAAACATCATCTGCAGTTGGGGTGATTTTTAGGAGCTTCAGGAAGTCCTCATCCCAAGGACATGCATGTTCCCTCATGCTTGAACTCTTTTTATTAAAGAGATAGAGCCCTTTTCCCCACAATTGGAAAAAAAAATTAAAAAAAGCTGAAGACCAATCTACTCCTGGGAGAGGGAACACATTAGTATAGGGATTAGGACAGATTATATTACTCCATGAGGGATAGTTTTTAATGAGCTGGGGAGGGGGCTGGCAGAGTAAAGACTAAACCTACTCTTCCTGAGGTCCCACAAAGTCAGTCACAGACCAGCAAGACACAATTGGAGCCTTGTCTGTCACTATCCTCTAAACTCAGGCAAGGTGCTTCTCAGTGGTCCAATATTCTGCAATGTCCTATGATTCTGTAATTATACTTCATAAATTTGCTCAGAGCTGGCCCCATTTGCATTGCTATTAATGGTGAGGACAGCAAAGTCCTTAGCTAATCCATGAAGTGAAGCTCTGTTTACACATCTTTTATTAAGATTAATCATTAATTAATGTAAGGCCTTATCCCTTGATTACAGGGATCCCATTCTGATATAACAGTTTAAATGTTATCTTGGAAAATGAAACATATTTTTCAATTACAGTCATTCATCGTCCCAATTCAGGCAAAGCTTTTATTTAAATAAATAATTAGTCTTGGCAATAGCATCATAATTTATGAATGTGTAAAGTTTCAATATGCTAATTGTTGGTCCCTGCATTAGTCTTTACAAGTGACATGTTGCTATGTATATGTGTGGTATTGGGCTGAGAATTATCCAAAGCGAGTAACACTGATGGAGTCCTGCCTGGCTCACTGGAAACTTATTTTCTAAGGCAAGAGCTTACTCAGCTGATTTGAACAGATATTCCATGATTCCTCCTGCGTTTTCCTTTGTTGAATTCCTGATCAAGATCCTACAACTTGCATTAGTGTTGTTTGACTTCCTGGGGTAGAGATAGTGCTGAGTGTTAACACTCATAATCACACTGAAATATTTTTTCAACACTTCATAGTATTTTAAGAATCACTTCTTTTTACCTTCCATTTCTTTTGTTTTTGCCATTGTTGGGTATTTCTCTAACATGCAAGTAGTTAGAAACTTTCCTTGAAAACAAAAACCTGCTTTCAAATTGCTCAATTTGTTACAGCCTTTGTGATGTTGTAGTCATTTTTATGCTGGATACATTGTTATGACACAAATGCCACATGCGGAGAAGTCACAAAAAAATTGTTATAGGGCTATGCTAATTAGCAAAACAAAAATGCAATCTCTATAAGGCAGAACCTCAAAGAATAAGTCACTGTTTGGGGACAAATAAGAAATAGAAGAGGGGGCCGGGCGCGGTGGCTCAGGCCTGTAATCCCAGCACTTTGGGAGGCCGAGGCGGGCGGATCACGAGGTCAGGATATCGAGACCATCCTGGCTAACACGGTGAAACCCCGTGTCTACGAAAAATACAAAAAAATTAGCCGGGCAGGGTGGTGGGCGCCTGTAGTCCCAGCTATTCGGGAGGCTGAGGCAGGAGAAAGGCATGAACCCAGGTCGCGGAGCTTGCAGTGAGAAGGGAAGGGAAGGGAAAAGGAAAGAAGGAAAGAAAGAAAGAAGGAAAGAAAGAAAGAGAAGAGGGAAAAAGTCAAGTTGGATTCAATCCAGAAACTGGTTATCTATGAAAATCAGTAACCATTTACCTTTGGGGAAAGAAAGGTCAATAGTGTCCTAGCATACTGAAGGCTGGAATTATGCCTTATAGATCTTTGCTGTAATCAATATCCTACTCATAGTGTGTGCTTGACAAGAATTTGATGGTAACCAGAAGATGGCATTGTTGATAACAATGAATTCCACCATTTATCAAAACTTAACTAATTTGTGAGGGTTCCTTTTTATGTTGTTTCCTCACAAAATATTCATTATTTTCTAAGACTTTGTTCAATGCAAAGTCTGGACATGCCATGTGGATAGAATTAAGGTTAACATATGGTCTTCAAAATGTGACATTACCTCAAATGGCACTCATTCTATATGGAGAGAGGATAATCTTACTCCCTAGTGGACATTTGGCCATGCTTGGATACATTTTTGGTTGTCACAAATGGGGGGTGGGTTGCTATTGGAATCTAGTAGATAGAGGCGAAAGATGCTACTAAACATCCTACAATGCCCAGGACAGCCCCCCACCAAAAGGAGTCATCTGGCCTAAAATATCAATAGCATCGAGGTTGAGAAACCCTGCTTAATGACTGGGAAAACCCCACTCTCTGGGTTCCTCATAACAGTTTCTCTTTACCTACCATATTACATTAAACCCTGGTCTACATATACCATTTACCACTATGGTCAAGACTGTAAGAAGAGAGGAGAAAAGAATGTCTCAATTACATTTCGACAGTCATACCTGCCATGGTATTTGAATAAACCAGGCCATGTAAGTAAACCTAGCCTAGAAGCTAGGTAGTTCTGGGCTTAAATTATTCAGATAGTAGCTTCCATTTTTGGCTTTGAGCCACTTTTGCAGATGTAGCCTCTAGTTGCAAACTACCCTGGGAGGCATACACTCTCAGTCACCAAGTGGAAAACCAGAATATTTCCCTATTGACAGAGAAGATGAGCCACCCAGCCCCAAGGCTGAGAAGCAACCTAGACAAAGCTTGGGTCCCTGCCTGAGTCAGCTTTCTAATTGCACTAGGAGATACTCTGCTAGGTTTGTTTTGAAATTCGTATAGTAATACCTGGCATTTGTATGGTGCTTTTAACTTTTGAAAGGATTTTTCTTTGTATATCCTTGATCTGAAGAGGTTAGAAGGATAGGGCAGAAACAGGATAGGGCAGGAGCAGAGAAAGAAATTTCAAGCTTATCCACAATCCAATGGGATAGCTCCAAATTTCAGAAGCACACACAATCCTCATATGTTAAAGACAAGTGCATTGTATAGAGGGTCTTTGAAGGAAACAGTTCACAAGAATAAGGATTTCACTCTCCCTGAGCACTGCTTCTGGTTCCATCTGGGCTTGGAGTGGAAGTCTCAGCTGGACTGCAGTTTGGGTAAAGAGAGGAAATACCCCCAAAGTTTTATCCAGTCACATATTCTACTCACCTTCATGCCAAAGGGAAGATGACTTAATCACAACAGAGACCTCCCTTGTTTGGGAGACTGTATATTAGTTGGCTGGTTCACAGTAAAACTGTCTTTGAATTAAAGGCAAAAAACCAAGTGATTTTTTTTTTTCAGCAACCCTCTTGGCCAATCTTTAGAAACACTTCCTGAAGTATTTAAGTTGTTAGGCAGTGGAAGCTCCACCCTCACTTCTTCCTCCCCAACACGCTTCCCCCCCCACACACACACAAACTCTTCATCCCCCAGGGTATTAATTTTCTTTTCTCCAATACCTTGCTCCCATACAAAAGCTAAATACTCTCCAGAATATCGGACGGCCTCGGGACTAGGAGGACTAAGGACAAGGGGAAAATTTGTCTTGCTTGGTGCCCCTAGCGACTTTTCCAAGGTAGGCTAGGAGGAGAGTGTCTAGGGCTTCCACTAAACATAACTAATACCAGCTTCACAGGCTCCGCAAAGAAAACACTGGGCCATTTAGGCAAGGGAGATGATTCTGGCTTTTTCAGGAGCTTACACTTAGGCTCCCAGGGTGTGCAGAGGGGGTTAAAGAGCAGCAGAAAGTACAGTGGAGCTTTCTCAGAGCTAGGGATTGTTCTGAGAATGGGTAGGGAAAAGGGTTTCAGGTACTAGCCCAGCGTCCAGCAGAGACTCACAGGCCCCTTTCCTGAGAGAGCTAGGAAGGGAGATAAAAGACAAAGCTGAGATTTGGGGCTGTGCGGCCGGGACGTGAGATGCTGCCAGCTAGCGGACCTATGTGTCTGCAGGTTGTAGGTAGAAGTCTCAGGCTTGTGGTGGGGGTAGGGCTATGTAGCCCCTTCCAGTTGAGCTCAAGGGGGTGAACATTCTGGGCGCCAGGGTATAGGGTGAAAGATACAAGTGGAGAGGTGCTTCACGTGAAAGGAAGGCGTAAAGATCAAAGAGTCGCCCAAGTGTCCGATGACACGGCCCCTCTCCCTCCACCACAGACACCACTAAGCAACTTAGCCCACTCTCCGCCCCCCCCCCCACCCCCGCCATCCTACAATATCGCTATCCCTCCCTGCATCAATCTAGGCTGGATCTTGGGAGACCGACCCTATGGGTGAGAGGGGCACGGATGGGAGAATTAGGTAGCTCCAACTAGATTAATCTAGATCTATCAAGGATCCAAGCCCGCCCGATAGGACCCCAGCGCTCCGCTGTCCCCCTGTCCTACCAGCCGCCCTCTGCCCTTACTCTCTCAGGTTCAACTCCCCTTCCCCCTGAATGACCTATGGTCGCTGGAGCAGCCTGGCCACCACCAGCCCAGAGTCCGGGCTGAGGGGGGTGGGCAAAGGTCACTGCCCAAAGCAGGGGATATTCAGGCCAAGGGGCAGAGAGAGACTCTGCTAGCCCTATGCTCCGAAGGACTCTTGTCCCTTCTACCCGCACCGGAGCTTAGCCTCCCACCTCCCCTCCCGTCTCTGCCACCACCCAGGGGAGGGGGAGGTCTGGGGAAGCAAACAAACCAGACAGAAAATTCCGTACCGGGGGGGGAGAGATGAGACGGTGGGACGGGGCAGCGGGGGTTGACTTGGGGCTGCGACTGCGGCTTCCTTCCACCCCTGGCCGCCGAGCTGCAGAGAAGGCAGAAGCTGCTGCCCCTGCCGCCTGCCCCGTCCTCCCTCTTTCCCTCCCCCCTCCCCGCCTCCCCCGCCCCGCCCCGCCACTGGGAGATTGAGAGAGGCTTCCGAGGCCCCGGGGGCTGGGGGAGGTGAGGGGTGCTTTTGCCTACCACGGTTGTCTCAGTCTCTCTCTCTCTCTCTCTCTCTCTCTCTCTCTCTCTCTCTCCCCCCCCCTCTCTCCCTCTCTCTCTCTCTCTCTCTCTCTCTCACACACACACACACACACACACCCCACATCACAACCACGACGGGTTGTCCGCAGCTCGCAGCCACCCCAAAGGGAAGAAGAAAGAACAGGAGCAGAGGGAAGCCGGGCGCAGAAAGAAGGGAAAAGGAAGAGCTCAGGGTTGGACATTTTTGGAGACAGGGGTGGGGAGGAGAAAGGGAGCGTGCCTCCTTGATTTTCCCCTCCCCACCCCTCTTTGCTTTTCTCTCCCCTTCCCTGTATAGCATATTCCAGAAACAGCAGCAGAAAGGGACAGAAATCTCTAGTGTAGAAAAGGGTTTTGGAGGGGTGGCCAGCGCTCCCGCCAGCCGCTACCTAACAGCTGGAGCTTGAGTGTGCGTGTAAGAGTGTGAATGCGGCTGTCTCCCTCTCTCTTTCTCTCTCTCTTTCTCCTCTCTCTCCATCCCTTCCTTCCTCCTTCCTTCTCCCTTTCCTTCACACTACAGTGTCAGCTACCCCTGTCAGTTTCCCCGTGTCAGTTTCTTCCCTAGCTCTTATTGTGTGTGGCTGGCTGCGTGAAGGGAGTGGGTGCGCTTGAAGGGGCTCAGGTTGGGTTAGAGAGCTGGGAGAACAGGGCAGGGACATTGGTAGAGCAAAGAGTTTCGGGGCACTGGCGAAGGTGAAAGGTGAGGAGGGCCGATCTGTTACAGGGAAGTTTGGGAATAACTGAGCATCCAAAGGGGAAGCCAAGGTAGGAGCCAGTACTTGCGCTCGTCTTTACACCCCGCCCCTTTCCCTGTGCTTATCCGCCCACCCACCCGTCAGCCTAGAGGCCCCGGGCTGTCCCAGTCGGCTGCTGTTTGCGCGCCGCAAAAGAGGAGTCCGGCAAGACGCCGCACCACGCATCCTGGCCCGCGGACACCCAGACGACACAGATCTGATCCGAAGAAACCACTTGGCTCAGGGTAAGTCCACAGGCGGCCGGTGCACTCCATTACGCTGCCTGAGCGCTGCTGAGGGGCAAGGGGCAGCGAAGTGCAGGTTGAATGAAGATGCTGGGCTGCTGTAGGCTGAGAAGCATTGACTGACTGGCTGTGGGCTCAGGGTGGTAGGGAGCAGAGGGAGGCCAGCAACAGATTGTTTTGGAAGAGGAAATGCAGTGGGGAGAAGCTCTAGGGGTGACAGGACAAGGTGCTGCCGGCGATGACCAAAAACATCCTTTCACTGGGAATATTTTCCTGAACCACAGCTTTGTCCTGTCCCTGGAAAATGATTTGCTCCATTCTTGGGTAGATTTTAAGATCCCTGGGGAACCTGCTCCCAGGCCTCCTTAAAATCGATTAGTGTGGCCCTAGGACCAAGGATACCTGCCCTTTGTCAAAAGCAACCTTCAGAAATAGAGAGTCAGGAGCCGCATCATGAAGGTTCAGAAACCAGGGTCACCATTTACCTTCTTTGTCTTGTATCCTTCGAACTTAAGAAATGGCCAGATTTGTTTGCCTGTCTTCCTTAAAGGAATCAAAAAATGCAAATGGATGGACATCAGTCAGATCTCTGCTTCAAAGTGGACACCTCCCTCCCGCCCTACACACACATCTACTGGGACAAATGGTCATGATTATGTCCCACATATGCAGGTACTGAGCTGAATTCACAGATGCTGATCTTTCTCCATGGTCTCTTAGAATGAGATTAGGAGAAGGGCTTTTCCCCTGTGACAACCTGGGCTCTTTGGATCAGTCATGTACCTGGTGATGGTTAAGTTTTTAGCAAGGTTATTACTCCCTCTGGAAAAGCCTGAAGCGGGTAACCAGCCTGAAAGATAGAATCTCTGAACTTTACCCGAGTTTATTATAAGAGTAGGAGAGACACAGACTAATCGATAATGCTCCTTTTAGAGATTATGCATGTTAACCGTTGGCTTCAAATGAGAAATAATTAATACATTGACATGGCACACCCAGACCCACTTTCCTATTGCCATATATTTGTCTTCATGGTGTTTAGCAAGAATAACAGGTTTATATATCAGCATTCATAATTGTCTATTGTTGGTCTCATAGGTTTTTTGATGTTTAATTGATGATTTAAATTATGTCTCCTTTCCCATAAACTCTTTAAAAACTGAGATGTAAATGATGTCACATGGTACCTTTCATCATGTTTTTAAAATCTGCTTATTCTAAATCAAAAGGCATGTTAATACATTTACATAGTACGAAGTTCGTTTCAAAGCAAATATATACCCTGGGATAAAAGAAACTCACAGGGTCAAGGAGTCTCTGAAGCTCTCTCTGTGAGGTGGAAGGAAGAATTGAATGTCACCTAAAATCCACATTTTGGTCCCTGGAAGATGCTGTTTTCATAAACTTTCACTACATATATAGGGAGAGAGAGAGATAGAGAGAGAGAGAGAGTGTGTGTGTGTGTGTGTGCACGCATATGTGTATGTGTAATTTTTCAAGGACCTCAATCAACCCCATACAATCTTGGCTCTGTGCTTTTGTAATAGAGGGGAGCAGGAGGTGAATTTGTGCTTCCAAAGCACCCAGGTTCTTCTGTTTAACTTTCTATTTATTACTACGTTACCAAAATGTAATGAATTGCCTCCTTCCAACTCAGCAAATAAGACAAACGCATTCTGCATTAAGTGAAACCGTTTATGTTGCATCAGGCAATTTGTTCTAATGTTCACTGCTAAGAGAGAGCAGAATGAGGATTACTCAAGTAGGATCTGAAAAGGTGCCCATTCTGTTACTTTTTAAAGCAACCATAAGTAAGTATTTTCTTAGGTTAAAATTACACTTTCAAATAGATATACTAAAGACCGGGTTGCAGACAGGTAGGAACGAACTGGCAGCATCATAACTGAGAGAAAACTCAAAATATCAACACGAATGAAGCCTACAGTGTAGGATTTGCTCTGTTCTTGGTGATGTGAGTATCTGGCTGTTGAGGTGAGTCCTGATGGTTACCCAGGGGATAAGCAGGTGAGCAGGTTCAGAGATTCAGAACCAATGTAGCCCCCAGCTTCATTGATACTAATTCACCTGCCTTCAGTGTACATCTCAACATGGAGACCTGAACCAGATATCTGCCATCCTTCCCAGCCATAAGAGCTATAATCCTAAGATTCTGTTCTTCCTATAGCTAACAACTAAAACCGTAATGGCATGCAGAACCACAGTACTTAGAGAAGACTAGGCCAGGAAATTAGAGATGCAGGAGGGAGGAAGATGAGAGGAATATGAGAGAACCAAAGATGTTTTGAAACAAACGGAAAGAAAACTATACAGGTGTTTGCTTTGGCTGGGAATGGAATTAATCCAGAAATCAACTCATATGTGAAGCATCTTAAAATTGCCTGTATTTGACTTGCAAACACTGTGTAAACAATGATAGAATTCCATAGTACCAAGGAATTGGGAACCTTGGAGTACATTTTCAGTGTTGCCGTCTCATTTCACTCCTTACAATATTAAATTCCAATCTGCAAGCCATTCAGGTGCTTAATTATTGAATGGATATTTCAAATGTGTCATGCTGCTTTCCTGTAGCCTATTTTTGAATGTTCTAATTTATCTTTTGCCATGGCTCCATCACTGAAGGTGGTAGACTGAAGCATTTCTGCCTGTTTTACTTCTGCCGAAGGTTCCTGTTTTCACCTTAGTATACTAAGCTGTTCAGATGCCTCCTGCTAACTGAGGAAGAATATAAGGTGCAGAATCTCTCTCCCCAAAGCACTCTGTGCCACAAGATGCCACCGGCCTAATTTGGCCCAGTCATTTTCCAGGTTTTCAGGGAAAGGTATGACGAAGTTTGCAGCCTATAGACAAAAATGATGCTCATTCTAGGCAGAAGTTATTCCTCATCTTACAGATCAGGGATAAGCTAAGGCCAGCCATCATGTCCAGAGCTGGTAGCTGATATATCATAGTGTCATCCTTTGTAAAACTCAACGAAGCTTTTCTTCTGTTGATGGGCCCCTCAAACTTTGTCCAATGAGACCAGAAGACCCATACTGCCAGCAAGGAGGGATTCCTGAATGACTCAGCTGTGGTCTTATAAACAAAGTTGTACATCATGCTCAACTGAGAAGAGATGATTTAAAGACATTATAAAAGCTGATAGGGGCTAAGCAAAAATTGCAATTCGCTGGGTGAAGGGAACTTTGCAAGTTTCTTAGGTTTTGTTCTCTGTCACCAACTGTGGAGTTGGCCCTTCGATGGAGGTGGCCAATGCAATTGCCCCAGGTTTTTGCCTTAGCAAAAGGAAAGAAAAAAATAATGACAAGACACAAGCAGGGATCTTGGCAGGGTCAATTCTCTCGTTTCACCTATAGAGAAATTGAAGTCCAGAGAGTAGAAATGACTTGCCTAAAACAGACTACTAGCTAACAACAGCGGCAAAACCAAAACCCAGGACTGTTTGCTGATGCTAAATACATTTTCTGAAGCTCTCTGGAGATCTTCCCAAGAAATCGAGAGGTAACTAAAGCCAAGTTTACCAAGATCATAACCCTCTACTTCCATTCCATATTTATGTATACATGTTTATATTACATGCTACTATCATATCTTTGTGACTTACCTTCTCAACCATCACCTCCCCCTAACACACACACACTCACACACACAATCCTATCTTGCTAGCTAAGAAAACATTATATGTGCCTACAGCTAGCATATTCAGATGGAAGGCAGAATTAAACATGACAAAAATTTAGCTGCTCACATTTATGTGTCTGATCTGGCTCACACCACCAACAGCAAGGAATCTAGAAATCCCAATCTCTGCTGCACCACAGTAGTTTTGGCGAATGGAAGCTAGCAGAATCCAGTGACTATGGCTCTGGTTTTGTATACTCAGTCTCAGAATCAGCACCCCCAAATGCATGTGCAAATACACACACGCACACACACACACAAACATGCACATACAGTCACACACTTTCCGAAAAATTAAAACAAAGAAAATAGAAAAGATAAGACAGGTGGTTTTTAGAGCAGAGTACAAGAAGGAAAGGTTTGCAAAGGGATATTATCACCTTCTCTCATTTTTTAACCTTACTGCCTAATTTTCATTAATTCCACCCTAATTTATTTTAGGATCTGAGAAAATAGGCCAATGCAAACATGTTTACTACAGCCAAGAAGGATGATCTGGAAAACCTCCACATTTTAGTGAGAATATCACAAGGATAGGGAAAAGGCTAGGACTTAGTGAGCTACAGCCTTGCTACTACAAGTGTAGTCCCCACACCAGGACTGCCACCATCCCCTGGGAGCTTTCTATAAATGTAGAATCTCAGATCCTTCCCCAGACCTACTGAATAAGAATCTGCTTTTTATGCAGATCCCCAGTGGTTCATTTTTATACTAAAATTTGAGAAGCACTGGGCTAGAGCTTATCCAAAAAGCACCTGAAAGATACTTGAAAATAAACAATTACCTACCGAGCATGTAGGGACAATTCATGTGGCTTATCAATTAAAAAATAAAATATAAACTTTTTCCAGGTCCACTTATCTTGTTATTCACAGTAAAACCCTTAAGTGTGGGCAAGAGAGTTTCGTGTAAGGGGAGTAAGATCATAGGATTTGTCTATTTACCAGGACGACTTGGATTTGGGAACTCACACAGACCTGAGTTCAAATCCTGGCCCTGCTCATGAATTACTAGCTGTGTAAACATGCACTTTGCCTTTAAACCTCACAGTCCCCATCTATAAAATGGGATTAATAATAGTACCAACTGGCACTGGGCTGTCATGAAAAATTAGACACTATAAGGCACTGGGATATGGTGAACAATCAATAAATAGAAGATATAATTCATATGATTTGGCCAACAATTTTAGTTTGGTAGAAAACCAACCACTAGATGTGAAGTCTTAGGGCACCTAGCATTATTTCTAATTGACGTGAATCTTATTGGGTTTTCTACAGATAGAATGCTAAGATATA